GTTTAAAGTTAAACGTTGTCAAGAAATAATAAAGTATGTATCATTTCCGTATATAAAAGGTATTTATGAAAAATATAATAACTTCTTTAATCATAAATTAATTAGATTGGCTCCATCCTTAAATAACAGGTTATCAAATATGATGATCATCAGAAATAATGCTAAAGATATATTAGAAGAAGAAGGTGTTGTTTATCGGATAGAATGCACGTGTAACAATCCTAGTTTTTACGTCGGTGAAACAAAACGAAGATTAAGGATCAGACTGTCGGAACATTTGGCTGCCGTAAGGTTGAAAATGAGTAATTCTCCTGTCTTCCAACATTGTAATAGTAATAATTGTCAGATTAATATTAATAAATTAAAAATAATTTTTAAGGAAAAAAATATTGTAAAGCGAAAGGTAAAAGAACACTTCGCTATAATTATGCAAAACAATAATGTTAATTTAAATACCGGAATGTTAACAGCGGCATGCTGGGAGTTTTTTGTTAACTGTATAAGTGGCTCTTCAATGAGTTGACTGTTTGAACGTAGATTTTGTGCTGTAAGCCCCACTGAAGAGGCCATAGGCGAAATGCATTTGGGAAGCTTGTTAGTAATGATGTAAATAAAAATTTTTTTCTCTCTGCAGATTATTTTCTTTTTTATACCTTTTTAAACTCTGTTTTTTAAAGATTTTATAGTCATTATTGGCTTGTTTTTTTGAAAAATTGAAGTTTTATATTATCCAAAAGTCAGAAAGGAAAGAAAAATATAATTTTTTCGTAATTTTACATTTTATGTAAGAAAACAAAAGAAGTATATATATATACTTTTTAAATTAAGTACTGTAATTAAACATTTAAATTTTGAGTATGTTTCAAATATGATCAACGTTTTAATATTTAAATATTCCAATTTTTATAAAATGACTGAAGATGCCTTAAATTCATTCAAGAAGAAAAGTACTTTCTGTTTAAATCTTCATCAAAATTGTTTTATGTCATTGATATATTTAAACTGTAACATTTTGCATTTTTCTTCTATGATTATATGTTCACTAGAATCTAAGAAATACTTCATTTCCTAGATTACAATAAATAAATATATACATTTATTAATAAAGCTATGATTAATAATGATATTTTTATATTATTGAGATTTTAGTCTTTAATATGTACTGATACCTTTTATAAATTTTAATTTTTTTGTAAAATAAAACAATAAGATTTATTTTTTAGTATACCAAAAAGTGAATTGCACATCAAATATAACTGAGTATGGAATTCAAAAATACTGCACTAAATAAACAAAGTTTAAATTCTATTAAATAAATGGTTTTCAAATTTTATTATAACAAATTTTTTTATTTTATTCACTTTATTTTCTTATAGAGATGTGTGTGTGTATATTTATCTGAATTATAGTGATAATGTACAGTCGACCCCCCTATAAGACAGTAGCTACATTCCATTCTTTAGGAATCCGATTTCTTATGAGTCCTTCCAATCACAGCCCGACACATGTCAAGTTTACGGACTACGGCAGTTTGAAAGGTTTTCTTCTATAAAATTAATCGATTCTAGACTAATCCAACTCAACATTTCCAAAATACGTATATTTTTTTTGGAAATAATCCGTATAAACTACGCTATAAACAAAAAATTGTAGGATTACTTACCGAGTGTGCACCATTCAACATCGCCATTGCTCAAGCTTGTTTTCGTCGCGGAGTAACTCAGCAAACCACGGCCGCGATTTCTGATGTTATTTTTCTGCAAAAACTTCACTGAACTTTGGAGACATCATTAATATAAATAATTTTTATCGCCGTTGAATAAGAAATGTTTCTTTCACAAGAAATGTATAAAATTACAGTACTGTATTAGACTTAC